CTATATATATATATATATATATATATATATATATATATATATATATACACCGTGACTTGTCTATTTTCTATTTATTATTCCCGTAAAAAAGACGCTATTAAATGATCACAGCTATAACCCAGAGCATGCTCACGAACTGGAACGATAGTGCCGGATGATTCTGAAGCCATATGTTTACATATCGCTATAGATATGTCCATCATAACGGTCGGCGTATGCGAAGGGGTTAACGGCAACCCGTCGAGATGAGGTTCCGTTCGGATTGGTCTCGGAACTGAAATACGCACGCGTATAATGTTAAAACACGCGTTGGATGCCCCGGGCAGCGATTATAACCACGAACACGCCTCTACATTCAAGAATCCGAGCGCACCTATTATATTACCCGGAGCGGAGGGCAACGCTAGAATTTAGGGTTTAACGCTATAACAGTCGGACAGATCGATGAACAGACAGTCTTTAATGGCGGTCTCTCCGGTGCTACATTTCGGAGACAAGCCATATTTAGCTGTACTTTCGGGCACATACACTTTACAAACTGCACCAATAGCGTAACCTTCTGTAAAGGTTTCTCAAACTTTTGCAAAGCGGAAAAACTTGCAGCGCGATCTCTTAAATGATATACGAAGAAAGAGAATAACTATGGGAGAATAACTATAATGTATGAGAAAATTTTGTATAATCACTCTTTTTTTGAAGAATTATCGATAATTATATATCAAGTACTTACTAGTTAAAGAGAAATAATATTTCTTTGCTTACGTAAAAATATATATATGTAACACATTTCTATATAATTTATTCCGTTCTCTTGAAACTTTATTTAATTTTATTCGTTGTAAAATATATATTAGAGTTGTATGTTTGTCGCTAATGAGACGATATTAATACTAATACGATAATAATATGATTAATGCTTATTTTCATGCTAAACGTTGACTACGCCACTGTTTCAAACTTTATGATAGAGCGAGTGCGTATTGGTGCAGCTTCTATCGAAGAAAAAAAGAAACGAGGAGAAGCGAAAGCGAAAGGATCGGGATAAGGGTAGCTTATAGAACCCTTCATCAACGTAATACCCTTTCAGATACATGCCAACGTCATTACGGAGCCATGAAATACGCCGCGTATGCGCGCGTGTATGCGAAACACATCGAAAACAAAGAAATAGCATGGTCCGGCTGCGCCGAAACTGATATTTTAGTCTTTGCAAAACGATAAAATACGGCTCTTAAAAGGATCTGTTGCCGCTCGATCTGTGACAGGGACGAAAGTCGATTCTCTTGCAATTGCTACGTACAGAATGTATTTCTATACTTCTATCCTTGTGAGATATCAAATATTTTCATCGAATAAAATTTATTTTTACGTTTTCCATAAACTCTCGCTTTTAAAATGCTATAATAATTTTAAAAAGATATTCATATGTTATATGTTATTTATCTTCATAATGCAATTAAATTTAAATTTTTTTCAATTAAGAAAAATGCAAAATTATACGAGACCTAAGAACCTGTGATCTACCGAGCGATGCCATCTATTGTCCCATTGTTTCTAAATTTTTTTGTTTATTATTTTGTATCATATATAGGTGCAACACTACATCCTCGTTGTACAAGCGACGGATGGCGGTATGCCAGTGCTGTCGTCCACCGTGACAGTGTACTGTAACGTTGTCGATTTAAACGACAATGCACCGATATTCGAGACGGGGCCGCATGCGGCCGATATCGTGGAGAACGCGACTGTCGGCACACCTGTGCTCACCGTAACTGCCCAGGATCTAGACTCCGGCGACAACGGCAGGATCATCTACGCCGTGGCCGGCGGCGACGAAAATGACGACTTTGGGGTGGCTCCCAACGGCACCCTCTTTACGCGCCAGGCCCTCGATCGCGAGCGAAAACCGCTCTACAATTTGGTGCTAAGCGCCACCGACAGTCCATTACCGCCGACACGGCCATTGTCCTCCACAGTACAGGTTGGTGAATTCTAGAAAACTTGAAGAATGTTCTTATTACGATATATTTTATTGCGACGTTTAAATGAAAAAGCATTCTTGAGCTGAGTTGTCAAAAATTGTTGATGTTCTTTTGAGAATGTGCAGATTATATACTTACTTAAATGATTTGATGATTTCCAGTATAAAATTTCCTTCATTCAGGATAAAGTTCATTTCCGATTTAAATTATCATATTTAGACACGTTGTATAAATAAATATAATTGCAGCAGTGCATTCTTTTTCCTGAGTTTTGAAACGATCTACATTGCCCTTCGTTCAAACGATACAGGTGACGGTGGTGCTGCTAGACGTGAACGACATGTCGCCAGAATTTATATCGCCTACAAAGATATCGATAATTGAAAACGCACCGAGCAACACAGTGGTGATGGCGATAAAAGCTGTCGATCGGGATGAGGGTCGAAACGGTTATGTCGAATATTCGTTGAAGGATGATGGTAACCTGCCGTTTACTCTGGGTCTAGTAGACGGACTGCTGCGTGTCTCCGGATCGTTGGATCGTGAGCAAAGATCCAACTATACTTTGGAGGTCACTGCTAAAGATCGCGGTGAACCACCAAGATCGTCGTCGACCACTGTCACAGTTACGGTGCTCGACGAAAATGATAACTCACCAGTGTTTGATCCTAAACAGTATTCGGCTACCGTTGCCGAGAACGCTAGTATCGGCGCCAGTGTTCTCCAGGTCAGTAAGATTGAGACAAGCTTTTAATAATAAAAGAGTTGAAAAGGACAGAAAAAAGAAATGGAATTTTTCAAATTAAGATATCAAATTAAATATTTAAGATCTATACAGACATAAATCTTATTTATAAAATAGAATCTAGATGAAAGTATCTGTCATTGTTAGAATTTTATGAAATGTTAGATACTATTAATATTAAAATAAT